ATTCGCATTCCCATGTTAAATATATTCGCCGCTTGCAGTATTGATATAATTTCATTGCTATCCCTATTGTTACAAAATGCATAGCGTTTAATAGGATATTATGAAACTTGTGTACTTATACAAAATCAAAGGACCTTTTTAAGTTTGTCACCATAACGGGTACTTAATGTAGCTACGTGTAACTTGGTGTAATATTTACTTCCCGTAGTTTAATAGGCAATGAATGCGCATACATGTATGTGTTACAAACACACGAAAGCAATGTATTTGGAATCACTTAACCTAAAATTGGGTTTCACAAATAAAGATACTGCGTCTTTCTTCTTTAGCATGTCAGAATCACAGGTAATCTAGGCTCCTACAATGTACCTACCTGTGTCATAAATACAGGTGATGTATGTATCAACCAGGTGCGTAGTGAACAGTTAATTAATATATCTATACAGGTCTGAAACAAATACAGGTACCTTATGTCATCAATGTACAAACACACGTGTGTCACACATTCAGGTTAACTAAATTCATACAATAAAACCTCGATATAATGCCCCTAGTCTCATTTTCCATCTCGTTTACTGCGAACAAATTCCAATGTCCCTTTTCCTCGTTTTCGAAAGAATTCCTTTCAACATTTCCCTCAATTTATGGCCAAGCCCCTTATTAACGCCGACAGTTCTCTGGACACATGGTGGCAGTATAACGAGGCTTTACCGTTCGCAGTTGTGTCCCATAACCAGGTTTTCATACCGGTGTCACATATACAGGTAATGTATATACATATGTACGTGTGTCACATATACAGGTAATGTATATAATATGTACGTGTGTCACATATACAGGGAATGTATGTACATATGTACGTGTGTCACATATACAGCTAATCTACATACATATGTACGTGTGTCACATATACAGTTAATGTATATAATATGTACGTGTGTCACATATACAGGTAACGTATATACATATGTACGTGTGTCACATATAGAGGTAATGTATATAATATGTACGTGTGTCACATATACAGGTAATCTATATACATATGTACCTGTGTCACATTTACAGGTAATGTATATACATATGTACGTGCGTCACATATACAGGTAATGTATATAATATGTACGTGCGTCACATATACAGGTAATGTATGTACATAGGTTCATGTGTCACATATACAGGTAATGTATTTACATATGTACGTGTGTCAATACAGGAAATGGGTATACATATGTACGTGTGTCAATACAGGTAATGCATATACATATGTACGTTTGTCAAATATACAGATAATGTATCTACATATGTACGTGTGTCACATATACAGGAAATGTATGTACATATGTACGTGTGTCACATATACAGCTAATCTACATACATATGTACGTGTGTCACATATACAGTTAATGTATATAATATGTACGTGTGTCACATATACAGGTAATCTATATACATATGTACGTGTGTCACATTTACAGGTAATGTATATACAAATGTACGTGTGTCACACATAGAGGTAATGTATATACATATGTACGTGTGTCACATATACAGGTAATGTATGTACATAGGTTCATGTGTCACATATACAGGTAATGTATTTACATATGTACGTGTGTCAATACAGGAAATGCATATACATATGTACGTGTGCCAATATACAGATAATGTATCTACATATGTACGTGTGTCACATATACAGGTAATGTATATAATATGTACGTGTGTCACATATCCAGGTAATGTATGTACATATGTACGTGTGTCACCTATACAGGTAATGTATATAATATGTACGTGTGTCACATATCCAGGTAATGTATGTACATATGTACGTGTGTCACCTATACAGGTAATGTATATAATATGTACGTGTGTCACATATCCAGGTAATGTATGTACATATGTACGTGTGTCACATATAAAGGTAAAGAATATAATATGTACGTGTGTCACATATACAGGTAATCTATATACATATGTACCTGTGTCACATTTACAGGTAATGTATATACAAATGTACGTGTGTCACACATAGAGGTAATGTATATACATATGTACGTGTGTCAATACAGGTAATGCATATACATATGTACGTGTGTCAAATATACAGATAATGTATCTACATATGTACGTGTGTCACATATACAGGTAATGTATATACATATGTACGTGTGTCACACATAGAGGTAATGTATGTACATATGTACGTATGTCACATATACCGGTAATGTACATCTTGTATATACAAATGTACGTGTGTCAACATACATATGTACGTGTGTCACACATAGAGGTAATGTATGTACATATGTACGTGTGTCACATATACCGGTAATGTACATCTTGTATATACAAATGTACGTGTGTCAACATACATATGTACGTGTGTCAACATACATATGTACGTGTGTCAATACAGGTAATCTACATACATATGTACGTGTGTCACATATACAGGTAATCTACATACATATGTACGCGTGTCACATATACAGGTAATGAATATACATATGTACATGTGTCAATACAGGTGATCTACATACATATGTACGTGTGTCACATAACAGTTAATCTACATACATATGTACGTGTGTCACATATACAGGTAATGTATATACATATGTACGTGTGTCACATATACAGGTAATGTATGTTCATATGTACGTGTGTCACATATACAGGTTATGTACATACATATGTACGTGTGTCACACATACAGGTAATGCATATCTTCTTCCTTGTATTTGCCTTCTTCAACTGGTTGAAGATACTGCAAAGTTTTGGAGTGTGCAGTACACGTGAGGACAGGTTAAACATACATATATATGTTTGTCACACATACAGATACTGTATATACATATGTATGTGTGTCACATATACATTGTATATACAACATATTACCTGAAATGTCTGCAGCAAAATGTACGTTTAAAAAAATATCATTTTGAGATGCAACATTGTACATCTACGTAAACAAACATCTTACAATTTGTATGGTCTCTTACTGAATTAAAATATACGATACATAATTATAAAGCCATCCTACAAACCTACTTCAGGAAATTAAAATGTTTAACTTCAATCAAGTACACAATTTATACTAACATGTGAAGACTCTTCAAAAGTTTATGATACTCTTATCATTTGCTGGTGGGTTTTTATCTAATCATTATTCCCGGTTGAACTAATGACGAAGAACGATGGCAGTAAAGTAAAGCAGACTTGTTGGCTGCTATACACAAAACAAAACAGACTTGTATGCTGTAATACACTGACGGATAAAACAGATTAGAGTGCTGTAATGCACACATTCGGGTAAAACACATTGTATACTGTAATACACACACGGGTAAAACAGATTTGCATGCTGTAATACACAGACGGGGAAAAAAAATGTGTATGCTGTAATACACGGACGGGTAAACAGATTTGAATGCTGTAATACACGGACGGGTAAAACAAAGTTGTATGCTGTAATACACAGACGGGTAAAACGAACTTGTATGCTGTAATACACAGACAGGTGAAACAGATTTGTATGCTGTAATACACAGACGGGTAAAACGGATTTGTATGCTGTAATACACAGACGGGTAAACAATATTTGTATGCTGTAATACACAGACGGGCAAAACAGATTTGTATGCTGTAATACACGGACGCGTAAAAATAAATTTGTTTGCTGTAATACAGTGACGGGTAAAACAGACATGTAAGCTGTAATACACTGACGGGTAAAGCAGATTTGGATGCTGTAATAAACAGACGGTTAAAGCAGATTTCGATGCTGCAATACACAGACGGGTAAAACGAACTTGTATCCTTTGATACACAGACGGGTAAAACAGACTGTTATGCTGTAATACACTGACGGGTAATACTGATTTGTATACTGTAATACACAGACGCGTAAAACTGATTTATATACTGTAATACACAGACGGGTAAACAGACTTGTATGCTGTAATACACAGACAGGTAAAACAGATTTGTATGTTGTAATACAGTGACGGGTAAAACAGACTGTTATGCTGTAATACACTGACGGGTAATACTGATTTGTATACTGTAATACACAGACGGGTAAAACATACATGTATGCCGTATTACACAGACGGGTAAAACTGATTTGTATACTGTAATACACGGACGAGTAAAACATACTTGTTTGCCGTATTACACAGACGGGTAAAACTGATTTGTATACTGTAATACAGTTACGGGTAAAACAGACTTGTGTGCTGTTATACACTGACGGGTAAAACCGATTTGTATGCTATAATACACTGACGGGTAAAACATATTTGAATTTTGTAATACGCAAACATAAGAAAATGTGTATGCTGCAATATTCAGACGGTGTAAAGTGGACTTGTTTGGTGTAATAGATAAACTAAATGTGCATGCCGTGATAGACAAAGTAAATCAGATTTGCATGCTGTAATACTCAGACGGGATACAACAGACTTGTATGCTGTAAATCATAGACAAAGTATATCTGATTTGTATGCTGTAATGGACAAAGAAGAGTAGACTTGTGTCCTGTAAAACACAAACTGATCATGACAATGTATACATTGCTGTAAATTATTGGATGTTGCTGTAAAGCAATCTCAGACATTTTAACATTTTTTTTTTTTTACGAATGATAAAGAGTCGATGTTTCGTTTTATGCTGCGTCGATATAGTACTGAAATTATAACACAAAAACGTCATCAAGAACACAAAATGTCTTTGAATATTAAACACTCCAATTTAGGGGTGAATCTTCCTCGTCATGCTACAGGGACCAAACATTCTGTAGATCAAGATCAGATACAATTCTAACCGTCGGTATTGGACTTGAAGTTCTTCATAAAAATGTGTAAAAACGGAACATACAAATATTATAACAGAATTGTCCTACACATTGTCTTAGACTAGATATAGACTTACTTAATTTCACGTCACGCTGGAATAGTCAGCGTCCAAGCTGCAATGGTCAATTACATTGTACTTACTTCTTGGCTGTAGCTCTTTTGGAAGGCCAGTCTCCGCTTGACCGTTTCCGTGTCCGCAGGCATTGGTTTGGTCACCGAATTGTACACACTCGTGGACATACTGATATTGAATAAATATCTCAAAACAATAGATTAATACTATTTGAAATTTGCAGAGTTCTTTTTAGTCGGATCAAAAAGTTAACAAACTTTCACCAGAAATTGTCAAATTAATGGTATGATTAACACACTGGGTTGTTCTGTGTTCACAGTAAAGTGAGTGCTGCTGTAAACGGTCCGGCATTTAAACGTTATTGGGAGAGTAAAAACCTCGCGGTTGTTTCTCATAAATTATTCTGAATCGATATGATATTATCGTATGTTAAAACATGTTGAAAGGGGTAGGAATAGCGAGATAGCGGCCTGGTCTTCTGTCTCTCTCCAGTATTGTTCTGGAGCATTGATTGCTTTGTAGAGAGTTTTAGGACACTCAGCTGTGACTCGAAACCAAAATCTATAAACCCTGATGTCAAATACTACTTTTAAAGTGCAATATAGGTAAACGGTACGGGCTAGGTAGCTAAGCCTGTCTACTGAATGGTGTTGGGCTCTGTTATTGAGTTAGCTGCTGATAACGGAGACCTGTGCCAGTATCTCACAGAGCACGTCAAACCAACGTTCTGGGTACTGTCTGGGTAGTTGTCTCTCCAATACCTCATACATGGTCTCTCATAGCTTGTCTCAAAGGGCATGTCAGACCAATGTTCGGGGCAAGGTTTTTTATAACTTGTCTCATAGGGCATGTCAGACCAATGTTCGGGGCAAGGTATCTCATAGCTTGTCTCATAGGGCATGTCAGACCAATGTTCGGCGCAAGATATCTCATAGCTTGTCTCATAGGGCATGTCAGACCAATGTACGGTGCAAGATATCTCATAGCTTTTCTCATAAGGCATGTCAGACCAATGTTCGGGGCATGGTATCTCATAGCTTGTCTCATTGGGCATGTCAGACCAATGTTCGGGGCAAGGTATCTCATAGATTGTCACAAAGGGCATGTCAGACCAAAGTTCGGGGCAAGGTATCTCATAGCTTGTCTCAAAGGGCATGTCAGACCAAAGTTCGGGGCAAGGTCTCTCATAGCTTGTCTCATAGGGCATGTCAGACCAATGTTCGGGGCAAGGTATCTCATAGCTTGTCTCAAAGGGCATGTCAGACCAATGTTCGGGGCAAGGTATCTCATAGTTTGTCTCATAGAGCATGTCAGACCGATGTTCGGGGCAATGTATCTCATAGCTTGTCTCAAAGGGCATGTCAGACCAATGTTCGGGGCAAGGTATCTCATAGCTTGTCTCAAAGGGCATGTCAGACCAATGTTTGGGGCAAGGTCCCTCATAGCTTGTCTCACAGGTCATGTCAGCCAAATTCGGGGTATTGTCTCTCATAGCTTGTCTCACAGGGCATATCAGACCGACGTTCGGGGCACGGTCTCTCATAGCTTGTCTCACAGGTTATGTCAGACCGATGTTCGGGGTACGGTCTCTCATAGCTTGTCTCACATGGCATGTCAGACCGATGTTTAGGGCACGGTCTCTCATAGCTTGTCTCACATGGCATGTCAGACCGATGTTTAGGGCACGGTCTCTCATAGCTTGTCTCACATGGCATGTCAGACAAATTCGGGGCATGGTATCGCATAGCTTGTCTCACATGGCATGTCAGACATTTTCGGGGCATGGTATCTCATAGCTTGTCACAAAGTCATGTCAGACTGATGTTCAGGACAAGGTCTCTCATAGCTTGTAACAATGTCATGTCAGACCGATGTTCAGGGCAATGTCTCCCATAGCTTGTCCCACATGGCATGTCAGACCGATGTTCAGTGCAAGGTCTCTCATAGCTTGTCCCACATGGCATGTCAGACCGATGTTCAGTGCAAGGTCTCTCATAGCTTGTCCCACATGGCATGTCAGGCCGATGTTCAGGGCACGGTCTCTCATAGCTTGGCCTACATGGCATGTCAGACCGTTCTTCGGGGCACGGTATCTCATAGCTTGTCTCACATGGCATGTCAGACCGATGTTCGGGGAACGGTCTCTCATAGCTTGTCTCACATGGCATGTCAGACAAATTCGGGGCATGGTATCTCATAGCTTGTCACAAAGTCATGTCAGACTGATGTTCAGGGCAATGTCTCTCATAGCTTGTCACAATGTCATGTCAGACCGATGTTCAGGGCAATGTCTCTCATAGCTTGTCCCACATGGCATGTCAGACCGATGTTTAGGGCACGGTCTCTCATAGCTTGTCCCACATGGCATGTCAGACCGATGTTCAGGGAACGGTCTCTCATAGCTGGTCCCACATGGCATGTCAGACCGATGTTCAGGGCACGGTCTCTCATAGCTTGTCCTACATGGCATGTCAGACCGATGTTCAGGGCACGGTATCTCATAGCTTGTCTCACATGGAATTTCAGTCCAATGTTCGGGGCATGGTATCTCATAGCTTGTCTCAAAGGGCATGTCAGACCAATGTTCGGGGCACGGTCTCTCATAGCTTGTCTCAAAGGGCATGTCAGACCAATGTTCTGGGCACGGTCTCTCATAGATAGTCTCACATGGCATGTCAGTCCAATGCTCGGGGCATGGTATCTCATAGCTTGTCTCACATGACATGTCAGTCCAATTTTCGGGGCATGGTATCTCATAGCTTGTCTCACAGGTCATGTCAGTCCAAAGTTCTTGGCACGTCTCTCATAGCTTGTCTCACAGGTCATGTCAGTCCAAAGTTCTTGGCACGTCTCTCATAGCTTGTCTCACAAGGCATGTCAGTCCAATGTTCGGGGCTTGGTATCTCATAGCTTGTCTCACAGGTCATGTCAGTCCAAAGTTCTTGGCACGTCTCTCATAGCTTGTCTCACAGGTCATGTCAGTCCAAAGTTCTTGGCACGTCTCTCATAGCTTGTCTCACAAGGCATGTCAGTCCAATGTTCGGGGCTTGGTATCTCATAGCTTGTCTCACAGGTCATGTCAGTCCAAAGTTCTTGGCACGTCTCTCATAGCTTGTCTCACAGGTCATGTCAGTCCAAAGTTCTTGGCACGTCTCTCATAGCTTGTCTCACAAGGCATGTCAGTCCAATGTTCGGGGCTTGGTATCTCATAGCTTGTCTCACAGGTCATGTCAGTCCAAAGTTCGGGGCACGGTCTCTCATAGCTTGTCCCACATGGCATGTCAGTCCAATGTTCGGGGCATGGTATCTCATAGCTTGTCTCACAGGTCATGTCAGTCCAAAGTTCGGGGCACGGTCTCTCATAGCTTGTCTCACATAGCATGTCAGTCCAATGATCGGGGCACGGTCTCTCATAGCTTGTCTCACATGGCATGTCAGTCCAATGATCGGGGCACGGTCTCTCATAGCTTGTCTCACATGGCATGTCAGACCGATGTTCGGGGCACGGTCTCTCATAGCTTGTCTCACATGGCATGTCAGTCCAAAGTTTTGGGCACGGTCTCTCATAGCTTGTCTCATAGAGCATGTCAGACCGATGTTTTGGGCACGGTCTCTCATAGCTTGTCCCTCAGGGCATGTCAGTCCAATGTTCGGGGCACGGTCTCTCATAGCTTGTCCCACAGAGCATGTCCGACCGATGTTTTGGGCACGGTCTCTCATAGCTTGTCCCACAGGGCATGTCAGTCCAATGTTCGGGGCACGGTCTCTCATAGCTTGTCCCACAGAGCATGTCAGACCGATGTTTTGGGCACGGTCTCTCATAGCTTGTCCCACAGGGCATGTCAGTCCAAAGTTCTGGGCACGGTCTCTGAAACCTTGTCTTAACAATGCTTCAAGAAACAAGTTACACTACTGTTTTAGACAAGATATATCATAGCTTGTATCACCAATGTCTCACAGAGGTTGTCACACCGATTAGTTTTATGTGAACATGCCAATCGGCCTTGTATGGTTTTAATAAATGTCTTCATGATATCATGGTAAAATGTGGAACACTTAACAATGTGTATATACATTATAATCCGCGAACTTCGTAATACACGAAATGGTCAGCTTCATTTCTTGTATATGGAACCGAATTTAAAGGTTTAATTCTGGCACAGAATCCAACGTGTATGAACCAGTTCATGTTTATTTCTCATTACTATTCGCGAGATAAATGTAGGATCCAGTCTCTATTTACGACTCCAGAGTCTATTCTAAGTATCAAGATTTCCAAGGTAGATGTGTCCTACTCACCACTAAATAACCTAACTGGTAACTTCTATTGAAAAGCTCAAACATATGCTAAAGGTATAGTGCGGCCGATATCACGACAATTGTGGTCAATGACATTTACAATGGTTGGATGAAAACTGTTTTCTTTTATGCAAACGCCTTTTTTTATATACATTCTGATCATTGAAAACTTATTCAGCTTCCATAGTTACATTGCATAGTCATCCGACCTTTAGCCCTGTATAAATTCCCAGTAAACATATTTCAAGAGTCTGTCGAAGGTATTCTACAAACAATTTCGTGTTTATGAATATTGCTATGGATGAAAATGATAGGTATGTGGCTTTAGAACCAATCACGGACCGCATGTCGGCCAATCACATTTCTTGTTTTCAGTTTCTCGTCGCCAGGATCAGAATCAATTGAACGTTTGTAAAATTACTGAAAATACTTCTGGCGCTACTTTTTAATGCAACGACATATACAACGATTCACTTCCATGATAGCTTTTCCACTTCCAAAGTGACAAAAAAAAATATTTTAATACATATATATATATCTTCTTTTTTTATATATATAGATATCTTGCACTTTTTTAACACAAGTGTAAACTCGTTCAATTCTGCAACAAATCCCGGTTCGATATCAGTTCAGCGTCTATTGTCATCAATCAATGCTTGACATCAACAGGACATCCCCGCTTGTTATTCTTCGCTTCAGGATAAAACAAAATCTGTTTTAATTTCTTCCTCTTCTTGAAAGGTTATATTCTCTTGACACTACATGTTTATCCTTTTGTGTACGTTTTGATGTTGTTTGTCTAAATTGATTGACACTGAGTGACATTTGATTTACATTGGTTTAATAAAATACCTGCAGGTTTAATCAAACTTGATATTATCATGAATACAAACACAGAGTCTATATAGTTGATCAAACGATGAGTAACGTTCAGTTAGTTCAAAGTTGTAGTTTCGTTAAAACAGTTGTTGTCTTATATTTGTGTCACTGTAAACATTCTAGTTCAGTCTAGGACAAATACATTTACAAGTCGCGGGATTGATACGACTAAGAGCATTGTTTTAGGTGTAATATAATATAATATAATATTGGAGATCGCTACTGTAAATAGTTTCTTTTTCGCG